TAATAGTTTGATACCATTCACTAGACCAAAACACACAGGCATTTCTAGCAGTAATATTCCAACTATTAAAATTAAAAATCTGAGACACTCTTTTAATAACGGTTCTTACTATCAAACAATAAAATGTGATGGGTCCTATTCAATATATGTGTGATTTCTGAGTAAATTATCCTGGAAACAAACAAACAAACAAAAAAGCAATATTGTATTTTTCATCAGTATCCATTTCAATAGATACATGAACAAATGAACAAAACAAACCATAACATCAAGTGATATTTTAGGGATACCCAGGCAGCAACCGTCAGTAAACTGATTGGATTTACAGAAATATAAACAAGCTTTTCATTCTATTTCACTTTCTCCTATGATAATACTGGGTATGGAGAATTTTACCTGTTTTTATATGGTCGTAAAGATGAAATTTGCTAGAAAAGCAAAATATAGACATATTTAAAAAAACAAAAATATGGAAAGGTGCATAGTGGCCAATTTCATTCAAAATAAGAATACCAAGAGTTAAGATAATGAAGAAGCAAAGATGTTATAAAAGTGTATTCATACAAGTAGGAAATAGTAAAGTAATGGAATAAGTTAGAGCAGTGCCAAAACAATTTGAAATTTCATATGAAGGTTACCATGGTAATAGGAAGAGTAAATTTGACGAGAGATTGAGAATATCACAAAAGAAAAAATAAATTCTCGAATAGTGCATCTCAACTCTGTTATGACTGAGACAACCTTGAGTTGGATCCTAAGTGGAATGGGTTTCCCACAGAAGCTTCTCTCTTTTCTCTTCTACAATCCGGGTCTGCTATAGTTAGTGTAGATACTGGCAGAAGAACAAATAAGTTGCCCATGTTTTTCTACTTGTATTACTGTATTTCTCCCTAAATCCTGGGAAGGGCTTTGAGCCTGGAGGTGATACTAAAGACTTCCAGCAGCCCTATTCATCTTCCATTTGTATTTTGAAGGGTGGTCACAATTTGCTCTAGCATGAGTGTGAGGGGAAGTAAATGCACTGGGAAAGTTGAGAAGACAGAAGCTAAGGATTTAGGGTGTGGTCATTTGTGTTCCTCAATCTCCATAGGTATTTTCTCAGTATTTCCCAGGTGCTAAATGTTTCTGACACTTTCAAAATAATATTGTTAGAATCAGTTCATGACAAATAAACATAAGAACTTGAATTGCTTCCAACCACAAAATAAGATTAGCCTAAGGCCATTCGTTAGTCTCTGCAGCCATTCCTGTGTGATAAGCAGGTATCTACTATGTTCTCTACACAGGAAGCTACAGGTCTGGAAAGCCTGCTAAGGAAGGAGATACTTATCTAAATCCTTGGAATTTGTTGTTGCATCAGTAAAACAAGGCTGAGTATAACTTTTATGCTGCTCTCTCTACATTACTAATTTGTTATATTGTTGAGTTTTTTTAAGATCTTCACCATTGCTTAGTTAGAAAGGATTTAGAATTTTCATGTTCTTCAATAGGGGCAACCTAATTTATGCTCTGGGGCCATTCAGGGAAGACTATGGGTAGTAAATTGTATGCACTTCTTGGGTGTGTTTTATACTATAGCATCATATTGATATTGCCATTGATATCACAAGGCTACTAGTAATGAAATAATAATAGTCTGACTTATTGAATATCTATATGCCTGGCATTGTGTTGGGTACTTCCATTTATGATATATGTCATTTGTTTATGAATAATCCAGGAGTGCTGTGTTACCACTTTTTTTTTTTAATTGGACACTTGGAACACATTCACAGACTCTGAAAATCTACATCATTATATAGCCATTTTCTTATGGCTCTTCTATTTTTGTATTATAATTACTTTAATGCTTAACTTATATTGCATTTTAAACTCTAAACTTATTGAGTACTACTCACCTTTCCTCCTATAGTGCCTTTACACTGAGTGGATAAATTCTAAATATCTATGTGGTGAACGAATAATTTTTCCTATTGACCCAAGTTCTCCTAACTGTGAAAACAGCAATGGAACAGCATATTTCAAGACCATTAATATGGAAGTCAGCAGCTATTTTAAATAATAGTATGATACTAATAATAACAAGAGGATAACTTCAATAGTTTTACATATAAGCAAAACAAAAAAAAAATAAATCAAAGAACCCTACTGTGCTCACAGGAATTAATTGTGTAAGTATGACTTCCAATTTAACATTAATTTTCCATTGCTGAGATTGTCTCTAAAAAACTGCTACTTCCCTTCCTAATGGAATCTCCACAGTCAACTGTTTCATAAGTTATGATGTTTTATCCTACAGGTATTCGTATGCTCAAATTTCTTAGGCCTTTCATTGAGGGTGAGTTTTGGGCTGGCAGTTTCAAATTACCAACTGTAATTCTAATGTTGAAATTTATAAAGGCGTAATTGGGGGTATGGGGGGAGGAAGGGATCACCCTCCAGTTTTCATAACACAAAATATCAGTGCTGTTAACAATTAAATGTGATAATATTTAAATAATGAACTTCCATTGACACCCAAAGAATAAAATCTAATCATCAGGATGGCATCTATATTGCAGATGATTTCACAGGAAAGTGCTTAGACCTCCATCAAGTTAAGAATCAATAGAACCTAGGCAACTGTGGTAGCGTCAAAGACACAGTCTCAGCTCATGAAAGGCCATTCTGTGCTGGAGCTATATTAAATTATCACAGCTAATGTAAAATCAACCTTGGTGTAAAAGATAAAAGGGTGAAGTTCTCACAAATGATCACTTATCACTCCATTCCGAAATGCATACAGCATTCATTACAGATCGAAATGCCACTGAAATTTCATCATTTAGGAAGGTTTTGAAACAGCCAAACCATTAACAGAAGAGTAGCCTTTTATATTTCTACAGCCAGTGACTAATGAAACATTATACTCTGTGTGCAAAAGGAGGGGGAAAAACCCTTTATTTTGTAATGAACCCAACTGGAGCCCTTTTAAACACAGTGTAATATGGTTTCACTGTTTCATTGAGCCTCTCATTACTTGTGTCAATAATCCTAGGTAAACTACTGTTGAACTTCACAGCATTTATCTAGCAGCATGAATAGTATTAATCTATGGGGTGCTTTTGATGAATTGTAGTTCAAAAAGCAAAACCAAAAATGACTTCTTACAAAGCGCTTAGAGAAGTATTTATTTGAAATGTGTCAACTGCCAACCACCTAAAGGTAGCTTGGCTACTCAGGCAGTCATGCTGTTGGCTAGCTTGCCAACACTGGGAAAACATATGAATTTCCGCCACTTGAATTATTTAAAAAAAACAAATGTCAGACTTTTCATCTAACAATATCACTTCTGTCACTCCCTTCTAATTCTCTATATTTTTATGTCATATTGCTTTCAACACAATGTGACATGCTGTTAACATGCCCTCAGGTTTCCAGAAACTGTTAGATGAGAGAAGCACTTAGTTAAAGGTGAACATCCAGGTCAGCATGAACTGAAAGTTACTCCCAGATCCTGCTCTAAGGATTGAACTTACCTTCTTGATACACCCAGTGGTCATTATATTCTCTCTGGTAGTAAGTATGCCAGGGTGTGTCTACAAGGGTTTATCATATGTAATTCCAATTTATCAGTCTAATTTGATTAGGTTGATCTTTCGCAAAAGTTGAAATGTATACAATTCATGAGATGCTAAAAATGAATCTCTCAGCTCTACTATCTTCAAGATGTTTATATGTGAATAGTCTATTCACTGCAAGTCTTTGTTAGCCTTCAGTAACAAAGTTGTATTAAGAACTGAGAGATTATATACACTAAAGCAATTTGGAATTAGAATATTGATTTAATGTGTTATTCTCCAATTTTTATCTGTATGGTATTAAAATAAACACCTGGGCAAAAACACAAACTTAATTTTTTCCCTCTAAATTCAAATCTCTGTCCAAAGAATTAGACTATACTCCCAAAATCTTTTTCAGAAAGATACAGAACTAACCCATACTTTTTATAGTATTATATAGTTAGTTTCATTGGAGAGATATCAAACAAATGTACCTTCTCCATGAATTCTAAGATCCACTGGATTTATTACAGCATCATGTTTTATACAACACTCATTCAGAATACAGCCATGTTGTGTGGAGCACAATACTAGTCTTAGAAAACGTTTTCTTGGTGACATACATCAGGAAAATATTACATTTTCTAATCCTTCTTTCTGTTGGAGATTCACAATGTACCCTGGCAAATAAAATAAACTCTGAGAAGTCCTGCAATAAAGAAACATGACTAACTTTGTTTATTGCAGTATTTTTCAATCTCACAAAGGTTTACTCCATCTAACAATATGTTAGTGTTATCTTATGAACAACATATTGTTGCTTTTGGAGGTTGAGAAAAACATGCTTTTTAATCTTGACTACTGGTATTTCTTTCTGCCAATTTGTTATATTTTACTCAAATTGTGAGATTAGTGGACAGGAGAAAAAAGACAGCTGTGGGTGTTTCAAATTATTGTTCATAAGATATTAATACAGTTATCATTAATATTATATACCTCTGTCTTTGCTGCACCTCAATAACATGCTATCATTCTTTGTAAACAGGTTATAGTGATTATAAAGTATATTTTTATGATAATACAAACAAAATTAGCTTAAGGGAAATATAATTTTCATGATCCTGATTTATAACTAAAATCATTTATTTGTAAAATTTAAAGAAAACCATTAATATGATTTAACAGTCACCACCCCAAAATGCATGATATACTTGTAATAACTTGTCACAAAAAAATGTTATTTTTAGTGTATGTATGTTGTAATTTTATTTTATTAGTTTGACTTGGAACATATTAACAGTGAATCTTGGAGATATTTACACTTACGAGAAGTCCTTCTGTCTGAAAGAAAAAGAAAACCTGTTTAATTTTGTTTATTTTTCTAAAGATTTTGATTTATTTAAACAGTTTTTCAAGGGATTCATTCTTTCACAGATAATGATGTCAAAAGGTACTCACCATGCACGATGAGAACATACTCCGCACTGCTTTGGCCAATGGTGTTTGTGGCTTCACATCGATATGTCCCATTATCCGTTTTATTCAGGAAAAGAATGTTTAGCTCTCTACCACTCACAACCATTCGGTCAGGATCTGGTAATTCTCCGCCATCCTTTGTCCACAAAACAGGTTCTGGCCTATGGGATCAAAACATGCATAGAGATAGAAGAGAATAAAAAATGCTACATATTCTGTGGATTAAGTAAATCAAGCAATTTATAAAACATTAACACCTGTCATTTGCATAACCATGCAATACCTTTTATAAAGTACCCAAAGAACCATCATACACTCACTCAGAAGATTTGAAGGTATGGAAAATATAATTTAATTCTTTCCTTACCAAGCAGACATGTGTTAAGAAATGAATTTGTTGAGTGATTTCATGCTGTCACTGATACATAGCAGATCCTGTGGCCCTGATCCTGCCGCTAATGGCTGACACTTGCTAATCTCAGGAGGACTGCTGTTGGGCTGTGGAGTAGATTTCCCCAGAGGTACCGGGGATGATATCTTTGCACTTGGGCCACCATTGTGACACAGTGTAGCCTGAAACCACCTAAAACTTCTCCCCCATCTTTCCTGCTTTTATTATCACTCTAAAGGTTTTTCCTGACAATTCTTTCTCCCCCACCACCCAGTTTTATTGAGGTATAATGCTCTATTACCTTAAGGTGCACAACATAATGATTCAATATATGCATTATTATTAATACAAAATGATTATTATAATAAAGTCAGTTAACATCCATCACCTCATATAGTCATACATTTTTTTGTGTGTGATGAGAACTTTTAAGATTTACTTTATTAGCAACTTGCAAATATACAATACGGTATTGCTAACTATTGTTACCATGTTGTACATTAGATCCCAAGGAATTATTTATCTTATAACTGGAAGTTTGTGCCTTTTGACCACACTCAACCACTTCCCCTCCCCTTCTCACCCACACACACTCCAGCTTCTGGCCACTTTTATTCAACATAGTACTTGATGTCCTAGCCAGAGCATCTAAGCAGGAAAAACAAAAGGTATCCAAATCATAAATGAAAAAGTATAGCTGTCTCTATTTGCAGGTGATTGGCACATATAGAAAACCCTAAAAATGCTCAAAAAATACCCACAGAATAAAGGAATTCAGTAAAGTTGCAGAATATAAAATCAATATACAAAAATCAATTACATTTCTATACTACAACAAGAAACTATCAGAAAGAGAAATAAAGAAAATCCCATTTACAATTGAATTAAAAAAATAATAAAATACTTAGGAAACAATTTAACCAAAGAGGTGAACTACCTGTACAATAAAAACTATAAGACATTTGTGAAAGAAATAACAGAGGACTGGAAAGATATTCCATGTTCATGAATTGGAAGAATTAGTATTGTCAAAATTCTCATATTACCCAAAGCAATCTACATATTCAATGCAATTCCTATCAAAATTCCAATGGCATTTTTCAATGAAACAAAACAAATAATTCTAAAATTTGTATGGAAACACAAAAGCCCCTGAATAGCCAAGAAATTTTGAAAAAGGAGAAAAAAGCTGGAGGTATCACACTTTCTGATTTCAAGCTATATTATAAAACTACAGTAATCAAAACAGTATGGTTTGACATAATTGCAGACATATTGATCAGTGGAACATAATAGAGAACCAGGAAATAAACCCACCACAATCAATTAATTTTTGACAAAGAAGCCAAGAATATACAATGGGGAAAGGATAGTCTCTTAAATGGTATTGGAAAAACTGGACAGTCACCTGCAAAAGAATAAAACTGAACCTGTATCTTACACCATATACAAAAATTATCTTAAAATGAATTACAGAGTTGAATATAAGATCTGAAGCCACAGAACTCCTAGAAGAAACATATGCAGCAAGGTCCTTGACATCAATCTTGGCAATGATTTTTTTTTTGATTTGGCACCAAAAGCAAAGGCAACAAAACCAAAAATAAGTATGTGGGACTGTATGTGTGACAAGCCATTGAGTTGACTCCTGGTGACCCTATAAATGAGTGATGTCCACAGTGTCCTGTCCTCACAGCCCTGCTCAGCTCCTGCACTGAGCTTATACCTATGGCTTCTTTCATGGAGTCAATCCATTTCATATTTGGTCTTCCTGTTTTCCAGCTGCCTTCCATTTTTCCCAGCATTGTTGTCTTTTCCAAAAAACCATGACTTCTCGGGATGTGCCTGAAGTAGGACAGCTTCAGTATTGTCACTTTTGTCTCCAGCACTGTTTCAGGCTTAATTTGCTCTCGGACCCACTCGTTCATCTTTCTGAAGGTCCAGGATATCTTTAGAACTCTCCTCCAACACCCTATTTGAAATGAATTAATATTTTTTTTTCCTATCAGCCTTCTTTACTATCCAACTTTGGCAACAGTACATAGTACTTGGGAATACGAGTGTGTGGATGATCTTAGCTTTGGTCTCGAATGACACATCTTTGCTCTTGATGATCTTCCCTAATTCTTCCATTGTTGTCCTTCTGAGTCTCAGCCTCTATTGATTTCATGGTTGAAGTCTCCATTTGAATTAATTACTGAACCAGGATAACCAAAATCTTAAACAATTTCAATGTCGTCATTGTCTATGTTAAAGTTGTGTATTTATTCTGTAGTCCTGATTTTTGTCTTCTTGATGTTCAAATGTAGTGCTGCTTTGGCACTTTATTCTTTCATTTTCATCAGAAGTTGTTGCAAATCTTTGCTACTTTCTGCCAGCAAAATGGTGTCATCTGCGTATCTTAATATTTCTTAATATTTCTTCTACCAATTTTCACTCTTCCTTCCTCTGAGTCTAGTCCAGTTTCTTTTGTGTATGTGTGTGTGTGTGTGTGTGTGTGTGTGTGTGTGATATGTTCTGCATACAGATTAAACAAATAGGGAGATAAAACGCACCCTTTTTTAACACCTTTGTTTATAGGAAGCCACTCTGTCTCTCCATATTCTGTCCTGACAGTGGCTTCTTATCCACAACACAGTTTATAAACCAGGGTGATCCAATGCTGAGGCACACCCTTTACTTTCAAAACAACCTATAGCTTTCCATGATCCGCACAAAGGTTTTACTGGTCTATAAAACATAGACTAACCTTCTTCCAAAATTCTTTGGAGCACTCCAGTATCCAAATGTTCACAATTAGATACGAAATGCCTCTTACTTTTCTGAATGCAGCTTGAACATCCAGCATTTCTTGTTCCATATAAGCATCACTTTACTTGAATGGGAAATTAGAACAATGGTCCTATTGTTACTGCATTCCATGGCATCTCCTTTTTTGAAAATTGAGATGCATATTGAACATTTACAGTGTGTAGGCCATTGTTTTTATTCCATATTTGTTATCATAGTCTTGTTATTTAGGATATTGACAGATTCATTCTCTGTGGCTTGAAACAATTCTATCAGTCTCCCATCTTCCCCTGGTGATTTAGTTGTTCTCAATACTTTCAGAGTAGTGTTCACCTCAGTTTCTAGAATTAAAAGTTCTTCTTTATAGGCACCTTCTTCAAAGGTAAATGTCATTATTTTGTCTCTCCTGTATAGGTTTACAGTACAGTAATACCTTGGTTTGTGAGCATAATTCGTTCCAGAAACAAACTACTCGTACTGCAAGACATCACTCGTTTACAACATTAAAATGTATTAGAATTGTTTGCTCCTCTTGTGGAACTCGTAAACCACGTTATTCGCAATCCAAGGTTTTACTGTATGCTGTTTCCACCTTCCCTGTATTTTCTTTTGGTTAAATAATATACTTCTTGGTCATTCAGCATTCCAAGTCTAGTTTTGAATTGCTCTTACTTCTTGAACCTTCTGCAAGAGATCTCGTGTTTTTCCTCTTTTGTTCTTCTCTTTTATCTTCTTGCATTGACTACTGTAATAGTTTTCTTTACCTCTCCATGATAGTCATTAAAAAACTGCCTTCAGGATTCTAGCCCTGCTTTTGTCACCTTTTACTTTTGCCTCTTGCCTGTCTTTAACAATCTGTCATGTTTCTCCTGTCATCTATCTTGATTTTTCTTTCCTTTTACTTTTGCCTTTGTCTTTTGTCATTCTTCTCTAATAATATCTTTAGTGTCAGTGCACAGTTCTTTTGGTACTCAGCCAATTAACTTTAACAGTGCAAATCTGTTTTTTTCATGTACACTGCAAATCCATCAGGGATGCTATTTACATTCTTCTATTCTGGCACTATGATTCTTTTCGTTCTCCTCTTCAGCTTTAGCCTAAAGTTTGTTATTAACAGTTTGTAGTCAGTACCACAGCCTGCTCCTGGTCTTGTTCTGGCAGAAAGAATTCAGCCTCTCCATCTCTTGCTTCCAATCACATAGTCCATTTGATTTCTATATTGACCATTTGGTTACATCCAGGTATCTAGTCATCTGTTATGCTGTGTGAAGCATGTGCTTGTAACGGATAAGTTGCTGGCTTTGTAGAAATCTACAAGCCAATCTCCTGCTCCATTTCTGATCCCTAGAACAAATTTTCTAAAGAATTTGATTCTGCTTTATTTCCTACTTTTGTGTTCCAATCACCTATCGTCATGTCTTATGTGTGATGAACTTACTCTTGGATACTTGTATATAACTTTCAATTTCATTTTCTTCAGACTCTGTAGTTGGAGCATAGACTTGAAAGATGGTTTGCTAATAGGTGTCTAACTGGTATTATTTAGTCAGACTTTGCATTGTAGCTCCTAACTGCCTGTTCTATATCTTACCCTAGTAATAAAGTCACTCCATTTCTTTTAAGTTTGTAATTTCCAAAGTAGAACATTTTGTAGTTGCCTGACTGGAGATGTCTCATTCCAATCCATTCAAGTTCAATGACATCAAGACCTACAATGTTTAGAAGTTCCATTTCTTGCTTTACAATGTTCAGTTTACCTTGGTTCGTGTTTATTACATTCCACGTTCCAACTGAATGTGTTGCACAGCATTGTACTTCCCTTCTGCCTTTGTATACATCCGATGCTAGATGTCCTTCTGGCTCTGTTTTAGTTGCATCATCATAACAATGCTATTCATACTTGTTATCTGTTCTTCCCCAGCAACTGTTTGAGTACTTTCCAACCTGGGAGTCTCATCCTTTAACACTATCTCAAATTTC